AAAAACAACTGTGAGGATACCCAATGTTGTTATTGAATATCTCAAGAATAGGTTCGATATGGAAAATGAATTTTAAAGTGATTTGATGCGATACATGTATCTTGTAATGGAAATGAAAGTTACGTATATTTATACTTCGAGTGACGTCTATAATTTGTTTGAGTAGAATATGGAGTAACGTGAGCATCCTTATAGCATATAGCCTCACCTATATGAGTGTGGAAGAGAGGTTGCTTCCTATGCGGATTAAGGCTTATTCTCTAAAACGTACATTATAATTGGAATAAAGCACATGGCATAACAAGTTAGTTTAAGAAGTTCTAAGAAAATTAGTTTTACAGAAAACCTGTGAAATTTTAAAAAATCTTAAATTCCAAAAAAACCCTTTAAATTTCCTAAAACCATAATATCTAAATTCTTAAATTCACCTAATATTATCGTTGATAGTTACGATGTTACCATCGCACTAAAGTCTCCTCCGCTTGTCGTGCACATTGTTTGTCATTCTGCCTTTGGCCGCCATTTGACTAAAACATTTTGCATTCGTTGTTTGACAATTGATTGACACGTCATTAGTTGATTTTTAATAATGGAAGAGTGGGGCAATTGTTAGGCATGTAAACGAACCGAACGCACACGAACGGATGTATGTTTATGTTCGTAAATAAACGAACAAATTTTTTTTGGTCATGTTCGTTCATTAAGGAATATAGCTTGTTCATGTTCGTTCATTTAAATAATAAACGAACACGAACGAACGAACATTAACGAACAACATAAACACACACAAAAACTTATTCGAATACAACAAACGAATGTAAAAAAAAAGTAAACAACAAGAATAACAACTTAAAATTCATTAATATAACCTGTAACTTTAGAGTTAATTTGTTCGAATACGACAAAAACATACATAAATCATAAATAAGCTATATGAACATAATAAAGTCTTAAAGTTAATTTGTTCAACAAAACAATCTTCTTGAAATCCAAACAACTTCAATAATCTTCGTAATATATTCAACTTGCCCTCTGTTCGAACATAAATGAACGAACATATAATCGAACGTTCACGAACGTAAATGAACGAACGAGCCCTTTGTTCATGTTCGTTCATTTAATTGAACAAATGCAAAATCTTGTTAATGTTCGTTCATTTAATAAATAAACGAACTTCCCGCCGTACAGTTCATGAACGGTTCGCTGATTTTTTTTTTGTTGTTGAAATTTTCAAGAATTTCAGGGTTGTTTTGAAGATTTAATTTTTTATATACATCATATATAAAAAAATATTATTTATATATGTATATTATTTATTATATTATAATAGACGAATTAAAACGACGCGGCTTTGATGGGACAATCATGTCAGCAACCATTAATGTTGTCATCTTCTCGTTATTGACTTAAAGATAGAGTATCATAATTGAAACTGAAACCTAAATTAATTACTATAATTAGTAAAATTAGAAGTTCAATAATATAAGTGAGTAAATAGACAAAGTTTAATGGTATATAATGTAATTTTTTTTAAATCAAGACCATTTCACATTCTTAAGCCTAAAACTATTTTGTTATGGGCATAGTTTCAACCAAAACTAAAAGTAGTAAATCACAACGTGATATACGTAGTCTTTTGTATGACTACTTCCAACTGAAAAGATAACCATGTAATGCTGCTCTCTTCTCTAGTTTCTCGTCCAACCAAGAACTCTACTACAGAAATATACGTAATAACTCTTATAAATCTCAAGTTTTACCTTTTCAAAAGAAACAGAGACAAACATAAAACTGAAATAAATAAATAAAAAACCAATAACACCCATAGTTTTACTTTACTAAAAACAAAGAAAATCCAGATTTCTTTTTCCTTCTTCTGAATAAACTGTTCACACACTCCTTTGAAGTAGCTCCCACAATGGTTCAAGCTCAGGTCTTTCTATGGGCATGTGTACTGATATTTGTGCCTGCTAGCATTGTTGCACAAGACCTTGGTGTGAATTGGGGTGTCATAGCATCACATCCTTTAGACCCTAAGATTGTTGTTCAAATGATCAAAGATAATGGCATCAAAAAGGTTAAGATTTTCCATGCTGAAAAAGAAATTTTAGATGCCCTGGCAGGGACTGATCTTGAGGTCATGGTGGGGATTCCTAATGAATCTTTGAAAAGTCTTTCTGAGAAATACAGTGTCGCCCAGGCTTGGGTTAAAGCAAATATCACAGCCTATATGGGTAAAAAGCGTGTCAATTTCAAGTAAGTTCAACCTCAATTTTGATCCATTAACTTCTGCTTAGTTTTTTTTTTTCAATGATTTAAAAATGTTTTGAACTATTTTACAGGTACGTGGCAGTAGGAAATGAACCATTTCTGACATCCTATAATGGAACGTTCACCAACTTAACACTCCCAGCTATGAAGAACGTTCTGAAGGCATTAAACGAAGCTGGTCATGGAAAAGATATCAAAGTATCATCACCTCTTAATGGCGACGTTTACACAACACCTACTTACAAACCATCCGACGGAATATTCCGACCTGACATAGCAGATATCATGGGCGACATATGTGCATTTCTCCACAAAAACGATGCGGCTTTCATCGTCAACATCTATCCTTTTCTTAATCTTTATCAAAACCCTGGATTCCCTGAAAATTATGCATTCTTCGATAACGATGACTCGACTTCTATGGATGATCATGGCGTTAAATATCGTAGTGTTCTTGATGCCAATATCGACACTCTTGTTGCGGCACTCAAAGTAGCCAAATTCCCAGACATACCAATCATCGTCGGGGAAGTTGGATGGCCGACTGATGGTAATGTTTACGCCACCACAAAAAATGCCAAGAGATTCTACGATGGTCTGTTGAAGAAAATGGCGAGAAACGAGGGAACTCCACTTCGTCCAAAGACGTATCCTGATGTGTATATGTTTTCTTTGTTGGATGAAGATCAAAAGAGTATTGATCCAGGAATGTTTGAGAGGCACTGGGGAATTTTTAGCTTTGATGGACAACCTAAGTACCCAATGGATCTTTCAGGGAAAGGACAGAACAAGTCGCTGGTGGGTGGGAAAAATGTGCCCTACATGCAAAAGCAGTGGTGTGTGTATAACGAGGATGCTCCCGACCAAAAGGATTTGAAAGTAAAGGTTGCATGGGCTTGCAATAATACTGATTGCACGACTTTGGTGGCCGGAGCTTCATGTTCAGGCATGGGAATTGAAACGAATGCATCGGTTGCGTTCAACATGTACTACCAAATGTCAAATCAAATTAAAGCAGCATGTGATTTCCAAGGGATGGCTAAGATTGTTAAACAAGATCCATCCAATGGGACTTGTAAGTTCCCCATCATGATTAAAAGTTTCCAGAAAACTTCCACTTCCAGTTTGGCGCATTCACCTCCATCAACATCTTCCAAATCTCACTCTTCATCATCTCCCTCTGGTTCTCCTTCTCCATCTACCTCTACCTCTCCCCCTCCCCCTCCCCCTCTCTATCATTCCCCCCCACTTGTTTTTCTAATTTTTGTGGGCATTTTCACTGTTTGGTTTGCATAAATGTAACCCTTTTTTGAAATAATGAAAATGCAGGTTTCTTTTTTTTTCTCTTTTAGCTCAGTGGAACATTATATTAAGTACAAAGAAACTTTTAAATAGATATTATTAAAATGAATAATCATATATCGTGAACATAATAACATTTAACAAAATTGTTATACTCAAATTCTAATTAGAAAATAAATTATATTTTGTTGTATTCTCTTTGTTGAAGATTAATTGATGATTAAATTTATTTAGTTAATAATTTTCATTTCATAAGAATTCTTAGCGACCAAGTATTTGTCTCTATAAATAGTAGGCATGTCTTAGTTTTTAAAATTACAAAAAATGATTATTTTGGATTGTTTAATTATTTTGAAAATAAGTGATGGATTGATGGAGTATTTCAATAAAAAAACATTTTCTTTACTCTTAAAATTAAGTTTCTAAAGATACTATGGTGAGTTTTATTAACTTAACTTTCATTACGTTTAAATTATAAATAAGTTTTATTTACTCTAAATAAGTTCCTAAAGACAACATGTACTAAAGTGAATTTTATTAACTTCAGTTTTTTTTTTTAACTTTCATTACGTTTAATCTCAGCTTTTGTCATCCTGTTTGAACTGTGATAGTTCAGTGCAGGAGATCAATCCTAAAGTAGTACGTAGAAGATTAAGTTGATACACTCTCCAACAGGGTTCAAAGACATACTTAGCCAGCGATTCCTTGATTTAGTAGCAAATCAGGGATTCAACCTGGGCTTGTTCTTCCATCCAACGTGAAGTCCACCCACTGAGACTTGGGGTCAATGTGAATCTTTAGTAAATAATTTAATATGTTGTAATTTCGTGGAATTTCTAATTATATGGTATTTTAAATATTTTTATGTATGTTTATTTTTTTATCTTTTTAATTATATATTTTAATTATTATTAGAATTGAGATCAAATTGATAGTGTTCATAAATAGAGAGAGAGAGAGAGAGAAATTTGTTAAATTATTTAAAATTAGGACCAAAATGAAAAAAAAATTTAAGAACTAAGAACTAAACATGTTATCATACCAATTAAAAAATACAACATCAAAATTTAATGATAAATGATCAAAACAAAACTGATCAAAAACATTAATGACAAATTTGAATGTTTTTACAGTTTAATAATCAGAACAAAAGCACATTAATGGCTTTTAATCCTTAGTTAAGTTTGGGTTTATTTATGGAATTTTTCTCTCCAACTCGTTCTAATTTACATGTATGTCACGTATACAATATTATTTAGATTGACATGTGAAGTTAATGTTGACATTATCGTTAATACTGTTAAGTGACGATAAAATCATGTGAAAGGTCGAAAATAAAAGCATAATATTTGAAGATTATAAATGAAAATAAAATATTGACACATAAGTTGATGGATTATCAGTGAATGTTATCAGCATAATGCAATGATTTCTCTTATGTGCGAAGAAAGCAAACAAGAAAAGTTGACTATCCACTAATGTGCGAAGAAATCAGCACCATCCTCAATGTCATCAGTTTTGATGCTTCCACTCTGAGCAATGAGTACTCTATACACTCTCTTTGAACAAATTTCACCTAATCTTCGGTCGTTTCCTACTAACCCTTCTACCAACAAGTCCTTGAGCAGAAATTCCTTTTCATGTACCTGCCATTACATTACAATACCTTAAACAAATTACTCAACTTCTTCCATCCGAAAGATAAAATGTTATAATCCACTTGGTAGGAATAAACCAAAAGATGGGAATGGATCAACGAAAGAGGAAACGAAACTTTGTCTTCCGTCCTAGTTGATTACGGGACTTCAACTAAGGAAACCAGTTGAAAAATTCAGACAAGGATAAATGGTTCAACTAAGAAAACAGTGCAAGTTAAAGCATGAACTCTCCTATCACAATTGCCATGCCTTTAATCAGCTCTCTCCAAAAATATTCCACATATTGCAAATCATAGGCCTTATATGCTTCCAAAAGTAAAACTGAGAATCTTGAAAGTAAGAGAGATTAACAAATAATTTTTCTATGGCAAGGTACAGTTGCACCCTCTTAAAGTAGTAAGTTCTTTAGCTTCAAAAATCTAAACCAGCTTAAAACTGAATTAGGAAAATTGGCCACTCATAATGTGTGATCAAATGGAAAAGATTTACGGTATAAGGAGGGCAGTTTGACTTACTGATTTAGTAGGGTCCATGTAAACACGCAAAAGTGATTTCATGGTGGGGTACTTTTTCCCTATGGCAAGAGCAAATCGTGGCTGGACCTTTGGGATGGCAAGCAAGGCTTTTAACCTGCATGTGAAAAGCTAAATCAGCAGTAAAATGAAAGGCGCAAAAATAATGAAATGATTGCAGTCAATACAGGTTTAAAACTAGTTGCAGAAAAAATAGTGAATTGTGGAAATATTTTTCTTATTTTCTTTGTTCACATTAATCTGATACTCATCAGCTAACAAACAAATGGGGGCTAATTCATAATTTCATATTTTGTTTCTGAACAATTATGGCATCACTTCATCAGAATGTAAGCAAGACAGACACTTAATTGGTAGAAACCAAACTCCAAAAAGTTTATGTGCTCCATTAAAGCTGGGAAATAAGTCGTATTACTTTATAAAACCAAATTTTCTTTCTCCAGGATGAACAATCAATGACAAAAATAGAAACAAATCAAGCATGCAAGTGTTTGAGATTTTACTCACCACAAGTTCCCTTTTATTAAATTCTTGTCAATGGAATCCTTAGGAATAAGGGACCCATTAGCACTTACAGAGAGTCGCGTTAACTTCTTTCTGCAAATAAATAAATAAAGTAATACGTAGATACAAAGAATTTTCCCTGCCAAGGTACTGTGATATTTTGAACAGAACAGAACACTAAAATGTGTATCTATAGTGCTTGTCAATTTCACCAAAGAGACCACTGAACTTTTTCTCAATGCAAGCAAATACAGCATACTAGATTCTGAAAAATTAGATGGTATTCTAATTAAACTAATCTTTAGAACTCCTTCAACCATCTAAGAAACCTGAGGAAATCTTCTTTCAGAACACAAATTTACCACAAACAGCACCAGCCTCATGAATTGCTAGCGTAGCAAGGTAAAATATCCTTGTCTCAGACATTCTCATGATTCCGAATGCATGACATATTAATCTTAATCATTGGATAAGGTAAAAAGCAACAAAAGTGGTTGAAAAAGTTTTGTAGCAATTGAAAAGTTATACCCAGGATAACCTTCATTCATCATGCAATTATGTCCATATTCAGCAACAATAAAATTATAAATCCAGCAACACTGAAGAAGGGCCTCTTTTTTTCTCTCTCAATAGCACAATATTTCAATCAAATTCATGTCACCGATATAGGGAGTAAAGTAAACCACTTGTGGAGATTTGTCAGCTCTCAACCAATGGAGAAATATGATACTGGCAAGTGGCAACTACTTGGCAACATTCGGTTTAGTATTGCAACCAGAATAAAAACAATCTGATACAGCAGTTCAAGTAAAGCATCCAGACCTGATGTCCTCAATTTTCATCAGGAGAGGCCCATGTCATTGTTAATGCAGATTAACCTTTGAAATGCAAACCAGTACACTACAACATTGATAAGCTTGCCTAAATAAACTTTAGATGATTGATGAAATAGTACATTCCACTTTAAACCCAAAATTTTAAATATTTTCATAATGAGGGTTGTTAGTTTCCTACAGAAAATGAAGGAACAAGTGCAGCTACCGAAAATGTCAAACAAACATGGTGCATTCAGTTACCAGGTAACCAGAACATATTATGGACTTTAGGAATTACTTAACAAGCAGTAAGATAATCACTATCTATTCACACCATGTCAAACAAGCATGTTAAAGAAAAATATGTAATGGGTCATCCAAATCTTTTTAAACCACCTACTTGATGAGGCCAAGACCTCACATTATGTGACCACAAGACTTAATAATTGTCTCTATGCTACAACCGAACTTGAATTTGTGTACTTTGAAATCCATTTTAAAATCTAGAGTGGTACCTAAATTGGCACGAGGCTAGACTGCATGTCAAACCAACAACATGTTCAGCCAGTTCAGATTCATCTGCACATTGCCTAGAGTGTACCCTGGCATAATATGCAGTCAGCTTTGCCAGCTCCTATAAACAAATTTCACACAGAAAATGAGATAAAAATAAGATATTAAAACAATAAAAAAAAGAAGCTAAAACAACAAGATAATTAGTGCATATGCAGTTAGAAGTTTCACCTCCTCAACTGGCGGATGTCTCCAACCACTATCAATAGCAGGGTTCTTGTAGTGTTCATTTTCCCTAATACATTGCCAAGATACATATTGAATTTCATCTCAATGTTGCACCATCATAAAGTAAGCAACCAAAAAAAATTAATAGCAGTATTTAATTGTAATTTTTTTGTAAAGTTTATGAACATATCCCAGGTCTATACAGTGTATCCAATCTGGAATTTTAATCTGTTTCTCTCTATCAACAATTTCTATCAAGACAGCATAAATGATATCATAAAATCCATTAACTAGCTCATCTTTAAAGCAAACACAGAAAGAAATACAATTTTCCTTCAAAGAAATGGTGCAACTTTGCTAGTAATAATCACATAGGAAAAAAGGAAACATAAAATACTACAACAGGGTAATACAGTAGCCTTCCTAACATGCAAATTACATCCAAAAGGCAGGAATACATAGTCAAATATAGAGGAGATAGGAATTAAAAAACCATTTAAAACAAAAAGGGTAGAACATCCATATAAAGGAAAGTTCGGCAACTCTGACCTTTTGTTAATGTATGCCATTAGCCTATTTGTCAGATAGCAAACTGTATAAGATGAGTATTTACTTCGGACTCTAGAAACGTGATCCAGAAGTGTACCACTAGTTACTAGATCACAAAACTCTGCAGCCTCACAAACAATTAATACATATTGAATCTCTAGTCCTTCAGGAAAAATCTGCAAAAAAGCAGATGATCTATGTCAATAAACAGTTAGTATAGTTTTTTTCTTCTTTTTCTTATGTTCTCTCTCTCTCTTTCTTTTCTTTTTTTAACATGCAAAGAAATTAACAATATCTAACTGAAAAGTAGAAAAAGCAAAACTTTAGATTAAAAGTTATTTTGAAAGTCGGTTGTTTAGCAACTACTTTTGCCAAAAGTTATCAGTAACATACAAAGCAATGCATCTTTCCTACGCTGAATATCATCGAAAAGCTAATTTGCACCTTAGAAGCACAAAACTTAACCAACTCTTAGACGCATTTAGCGGTTAAGTTCGACCTGTAAAGTATAGGGAAGTTTAACATGTCTGAAGTTATAAAGGGTGAGCCCAGCCAACATGATTAGCCAGTTAGGTTATAAGCTACAGAAAAACCAGAGTCTCATGGATGCTAATATGTTAACACCGCCATGCTAAAAATATGAACCAAATTTCCAAGTAAACAAATGGGAAAAGAGAAGAAAATAAGCAGAATTAATTTAAAAGCTCAATGTGACCTTGAGGCCATGGATGGTTAATACAGTATAAATTGTTATGGACAACATAAAAATATCATCTCTAACCCACCAGTGAAAAGATGAATCAAAATCCGACCATAGGATTATCAGTTCACTAAATCCAAGCCACTAGCATAAAATTACCAAGAGATTTGGATGAAGTGTATGAAAGTCAAACTTATTACCTGTGAAATATGTTCGGGAACTGTCATGGTCCATGCAATTGATTTTTCGATTGGATTTGATGTTATGTGATATGTAAGGCCTTTATCAGCAAACCTTGAAAGTAAATGTCCTACATAACAAAGCCAGGGAACTTCTCAGAATATGCAGATGCCAAATATTAGCATGAATAATCTAACATTAATGATGCCCTTACCTCCTATTGACCCTAGTTCAACCACCTTAGTATCAATTTCAGCTACAATAGATTTTAGAGCAAATTTTCCTTTTTCCCATTTCTGCCTCTCTTTCTGCAATTTTTTTAACTCTGCAGCTTCAGCTTTCAAAGCTGCTTTTTGCAACTTCTCTTGCTGCATGTTAGGTTTTGATCAGTTACTTAACCAACAGAAAGTATAAAGAAGATAACAAAGATTTGCAATTAAAAAAGTACTAGCCTCTTTCTTTAGCTTCTTTTCTTCCAACATACGAGTCCGCTCCTCCTTTGTCATCTTATTTTTTACTGTTGCTCCACGTTTAGTAATTTTCTTATCAGCAGCGTTAGCTTTCATTTCTTGATTATGCATTTTTGCATTACCCATCTGCTCCAAGCTAAAATTTTCTTTGTCTGGATCATCATTTACCTGATCAATTCCATAGAACTATACGTTCAATACAGCAGCTGACAATTTATAACTTAAATTTCTCTTGAGTTCTCCAAACTTTTGTTAAACTTATATAATTCAAATAGAAAAGAAAGTTAGGTCTGTGAATAAGCAAGTATTCAGGAGTGCAAGGGGGAAGGGGGCTGAAAACTTGCTAAGATGCATGCAACAATAGCAAACTGGCTTTATTGCAAACAACAATATGAAAAATAAATTAAAAGCAGAAAGTAAAGTAGGAAGGAGTTAAGGAAACATCATGTAGGACCTGAAACTAAAAGTACCTACAACTCAAAATAACCAGAAGTAAAATAAAATGCAGATGGTTCTTAGAGTCTTCAACTTTTCCCAAACAAGTGGGTGTTCAAAATCTTATAATTGTCTACTATTTCCTTTCAACCTCAGAGTTCAAGAAGAGGATTAAGTAACTTCTCCAAAATTAAACTCTGAACCTCAAAATACCCCCCCTCAAATTCATCAATGGAACAGTTTCAGTGCTTCCATGACATTTATAATTGCCAAACAAGGAGAAAAGCATCACTTACGCAATTGAGAAGAAATAGAAAAATGAAATTAAAAAGATGATAACAAATTAACCATGCCACACACAAAAGAAAAACAAATGGTTTTCATTTTATCAAATTATTTTTAAAAAAATTTACCTGAATTATACTTGACATAAGGAACTTTGTGCAGAAAACCAGCTTTCCATGTATTCTACTATCATGAGAAAGACCCTACCTCAACATTAGACTCTACTACCCTCCACAATAAACTTTTTATGTCAATGTTTCAAGTTTCTGGCAGTCTCACTACATCATATCATACACCACTCCAAAAAAAACTGAACTAAAAGGGGAATATCGATAAGTGTTGCTGACTCAAAATTCCAACAAATTTACATAAATGAGTCAGAGGTTCTGGCATAACGCCCAATTGATCAATTAAGAAAAGAAAAAAGAATTTAAATCCCTATCATCCAAGACAATAAGAATATGATATTTTCCTAATGCTAAGGTGTCGAAATTGTCTATGCATATTTCTCGTGTGATATTTTCAATGATGCTATATGTTCAACTTTATTAACTTTTTGAAACACCTATCAATATATTTGCTTAGCACTTGAAATATATGTTTAACCTAATTTCCACACTCCTTTTACTTATGCCTTGAAATTTGGGAAGCAAAGACAGCGACCTATTTGGCTATATCAGAAGCTCAGTAATGCATCATTATCTAATTATACCTCGAAAATTAGATGATCACCATCATCTTGCTCATACAATGGCTGAGAAGAACTGTCCTCCTCACACATATGGATTAGATTAGAACTCCCTGATAAACATAATTATTTAACTTCCATTAATATACAACAAATAAAAACAGATTCCAAACTACTGGATATGCTTCCTTTGGCAATTTTCCAAATCGTAGCACGGTTTCAAGAACCAGAAATCATATATAAATCAATTGCTAGACAACAGTAACAAACCTATATGAGATTCATAATCAAAAAATCTAGAACGCCATTCTAACTCTTCGGACTCATCAATGTCGGAGCCCTTTGATCCATTCTCCTGATCATTGTTCCTTTTAGAACCAGTATCAGAATCATTATCAGATTCCAAACATATCAATCTGCTTATTCCTGTTAGGTAAGGAAACAAAAGTAGAAAGATAAAGGTAAACATTATGCAAAAGGAATAATGATGGAAACCCATTAGAGTTTCTTTTTAACCAACAGAAAACTCTGAACAAAATCAGGGGGGGGATGAGTCAAATATGAATAACTCTGACTCCGACAGAAAAGGCAATTGGAAAACAAAAACTCAAAAAGACCTAAAAGCATCAAATCCAAAATAAATTTATCCAAACTGCTAATAGAATTGAACCTCTTAAGTTTTAACTGCAATAACTGGGGGGGGGGGGAATACACTTCCCATGATTTAGTAAAAGCTTTGATTTTACCTAGTTTTAACTCCGCTGGTTGCTTTTTACTTCTACAAGAAAATGAAAAAAATATACGTGCATATATGATCACATTTGAGCTATATTTCCCAATTTTATCATACACAGTTTTCAGTTTTACCATTTGCTTTTGATTTTTTTGTCAAGAGTATCGCTCAACATAAACCAAAATTGAACCATTTTTCATTCAAATTAAAACAAAAATGAATAAAAAATCCAAATTGCAACCTTAAAACTAAACCAAAAATCAACTAAAATGTAAGCATGTAAAAGGGGAATGTAAACCAGAGAACTTGGCATGTCCAAGCTGAGGCTCCGAAGCCCCGATTGAAGGGACAGCATTGGAACACCCGACGAATGAAGGCTCTGACATCGGAGTTTCGGCCACAAAAGAAGGAGTGGAACCGGAGGTGAAGACGGCACCCAAAGACGGTTTTTGCGGGGTAGGGTCATCGTCGAGAATAAGAACCGGATGTAAATGACGGTCCGGTTCGGTTCTGGGTTTCTTGGAGATGGAAGGGCGTGGGGTGTTTGGGTCATCTCCGTCCGATAGGACGATTGGATCCGACATTTGAAGCTACTGCACGCTGCTTATTGGACTCTGAAAAATCGTAAGATTTGGGAGTTCAGTTTTGTTGTATAGTAACTATAGTTCGCTTTTGGCTTCGAATAAGCGCGGGATTAGTGAAGGGAGATTCAGTTGCGTTTGGTAACGAGGATTTATCTATTCTTGTTTTAGTTTAGTTAGAGCTTTGGGAATCTAATGGTGAAATACAGTTTTAATCTATTTCAAATTTTAAAATATAATCTTTATATTTTATTTTAATGATTTTATATCTTATTTTTTATTCAGACTTTTTATTAATCATTCTTATTTTATCTTTAACTATTAATTTAATAATATTTTAATAAAATTTCAATCATCCAATAATTATAAATTTTGTGTAAAACTAAAATAATTTTATATTGTTTATATTTTATTTTAATAATTTTATATCTTATTTTTTATTCAGACTTTTTATTAATCATTCTTATTTTCTCTTTAAATATTAATTTAATAATATTTTAATAAAATTTCAATCGTCCAATAATTATAAATTTATGTAAAACTAAAATAATTTTATATTATGTAATAGGATCATATCCCTTATTATTACTATAATCTTCAAAAATCGTTAACAAAGATCACTAAGACTTAGGAGTAGGAAAATATAAAGATAAATCAGGCGATTAATTGTAAGTGGATAATAGTGAGTAGGGGTATGCAAATTAATTTATAATTATTGACTGTTATAATCATTATTTTATAGATTAATTAATTGAACAGTTAAAAACAAATGATTTTAATTAGTCAAATTATTAAAAGGGATAGTTAGCAGTTACGATTATGAATTTTGAAAAACAATTACCAACTATTATTAAATTATACACATTTTAAAGAGGAAATATAAGTATAATGGTTGCTTTATGTTTGTTAAAGATTTATCTTTGGAATTTTGATGATATATTGGACTGTTGTTATGTGTTTAACTTTGTAACATGATTAATGATGATTTATCTTGTGTTATGTTGAAATTTTAAACTAATATAATAATATGTAGTATGTGGTATGTAGATGTACTAGTTACTGTATAGTATTTATGTACTTTTCTTCTTCTTCTTTTGAACCAATTATAAAGTTAGTGTTTAGAATTTTTCTATTTAAGTATTTTATGTTAAAACAACTAATATAATATTTATTTGAGATATAATTTTATTATATTAAAAAGAAAAAAGAGAAACGAAAAAAATTATAATATGTTCGATATTAACTTATAATTGAATCGTTAATAATGATTAATCATTAGTAATTAATCGTTTCTTACGTTTAGATTACGGTTAATAAAATTTAATAATTATTATAACGATTAACTAAATCGGTTAAAATAAATAATACGATTAACCGACTGTGAAGATCCCTAGTAATAAGATCATATCAAATGGTTCCTTTTAATCAATCCTCGGTGAATGGAGATTAAGGGTAGAAATGTGAAATTTCCTCTTAGTGGAACCTTCTACGTTTCAGTTCAGGACGCTATGGACACTATTGTGGAACGACTTGAAGTATAAAGACCCTTTGCAGATAAACAAAAGGTAAACTACATAAAAGGTCACTGAAATATGAGTAAGTTTTATGTTCCCACATTGAAGTTTTAAAGATACAAAACAGTTACTAACATTATTATTTTATAACAAATTGGTCACTCGATTGTTAAACATCATTATCTCAGTAACAAAAGGCAAATGTAGCTCGTTAAGCTAGCTTGTTTGGCAACATTTGGCCACACAGGAAGCTAAAATCATTTGCAGGGATCTTTGTCATCTACCATTGGCAACATGAGGAGTTTAGAACAATTGGATGTTGCTTACAATGTTTTTTGTACATTATCGTTCTCTCCAAATTGGTCTGTTCTTCAATTCCCTAGAGGCGTATGAAACGTCTTGGGTCTAACAATCGTTATGAGGACTCTTATCAAATCCTTCTTGCTAATCGTGAAGATGAACTTGAAACTAAAATCGGAACTGGTCCTCCTAAAATGCCTCTAATTCTCGATGGGATAGCTGTTGTGGTTGGCAAGCATGTTCTGCTCGGTAACAAGACCAATACCGATGTGAATAACCACAACAACGATGGTATTTAGTCAGGTTTAATTTTGATGGCAAAACGGTTCGGGTAAACCTTGTAGCGCATATTGTTGATGAGGCTTTTACCAGGGTTAGCGCATGGCTAAAATAGCTTTGTTCATGTTAAAGGTAGCTAATTGGAGGAAGGTACTTCAACAAATGTTATCCTGTCATTGTTGGTGGCAAACTCAACTCTTCCTTTGATACACCACAAGACAACGATGGTCATGGAACCCATATTTTATCGACTGATGGAGGTAACTCAATAGCCAACACAAGTGGTTTTGGGTTTGGTAAAGGGACGACGAAATGAAGGTCCCCTAGAGCTAGAGTAGCGACATACAAGGTGTGCTGGCCATCGGTTGGAGGAGAAGAATGCTTTGGTGCAGATATAATGGCAGTTTTCGATATGGCCATTCATGATTCATGACGGTGTTGACATATTGTCTGTGTCAACACCGTGATTGGCTCTTTTCGTGCTATCAAAAGGGGATTGTTGTGGTCTGGTCAGGTGAAAATTCAGGACTTGTTGATGGTACTATCTCTAACATTACTCCATGATAGATCACAGTTGGAGCCAGCACCATGGTTATGGAGTTTCCTAGCTAAGTTGTCATCGACAACAGTATGCACTACAAAGTTTACCTACTTCCCCTATATCATATCATGCACAAAAGTTTAATTGAATATAATAATAAATGCAGAAACTACGACAAAGTAAACTATAAATTAAGATTTGGTGGTCAATATAGTATAATACTTACTATAAAGAAAGTAAACTATAACAAAAGAAACCTGGGTAATACGGTTTATGAACCTCTTTGATTTTCCCCTTTGACTTTAATTACTCTCATAATTTCTCATTAAAACAATAGTATTTTTTATATGGGAGTCAAACATCGATCAACCTACTATCTCGCATCGCCAAATAGTGTCATATCAGCTACCTTAACATGTCACATCAGTATTCCATTATCTCAGTATCGACGGTTAATGGTTGAGTAACCAATTTGTTATAAAACGATAACTTTAATGACCAAGCCATTATTTTTGAAACTTTAGTGACCAAGCCATTATTGTTTAAACTTCAGTACTAAAAAAGTAACTGACTCATACTTCAATGACAATTTGTGTGGTTTACCCAAGTAAAAAAGGGTAATACTTAATGATTAGGGTTTAGGGTTCTTATGTTTTACAGCCAGAGTTTCGAGTACTACAAAACCAAGCTTTTGCTGATTTGCAGATCAAAAAAATGAGAGGATTACAGCTGCCGTTGAGCCAAACGCAAAGAATACGACTTCAAAGAGCATTCGAAAAGCTACAATCCCTCTCTTCTAAGGCCAATTCCGACGCTTCAGTTACCGTCGCCGATACTATTCCTGTCAACTACGAAGACGCTTTTCTCAAGTACCCCCAACTCCCAAAATTATTCAGTTCAGCTGTATCTTGATTTTATATACAAATAGATTTAACTCTTTTTTCTCTTTTCTGAAAATTTTGAAGGGGGCATGGAACAACGGACCTCAATGGCGAATTGGTGGCAACTGTGTGTGGCGTGGTGGAGCGCATCAACAAACTGGTCTATGTTCGGGGCTTACGAGCTAGGTATTCTAAAAAAAAATTACTCTTCAATCCAAATGCAATTCTCTCCTTTTTTTTTTCTTTATTGGGGAATTTGATTAATTTCAAATGTTAAATCTTTGAGGTACAAGCCAGAGGTTGGGGATATTGTAGTGGGACGTGTAGTTGAGGTAATGTCTTAAAATGCAAGAAAATATTTTCACCATTTCTAGGTACACACGTATCTTGGAAACAAACTCAATCAATTTGGTAGTTCTATAAAATTTGTTTAGCTTTCTTTCGGATTTTTTAGGTTGCTCAAAAGCGGTGGAGATTGGAAATCAATTTCAGCCAAGATGCCGTTTTAATGCTTTCCTCGATGAACATGCCTGATGGTATTCAGGTAACTTGTATATCGATTGTAACTTGTACTACCCTTTGAAGCAAAACTAAGACTAGGATGGATGTCTTAAACTATTAAGTTGCAAGCAGTTAGAATATGTGCTGAAATGTATGCTTAATTAAGAGTTCAGTAATCCTGCTATATCCTAGATTAGCATTTCTGTTTTAGTCAGCCTTCCATCATTTTTTTTATGTTTCAGAATATTCTTAGGATATTATCTGGATAACAGTTATAAGTTTCTGATCTTATGTTTATTTTGGTTTGTTCACACCAGCTCAATGATTAACAATATGTTTTATGTGTTAGTTATTGTTGGATAATTTAAAATTAACTGGATAAATGAAAAATCAGGCTTGAACTTGATTAGCAGCTTGTTATGTTTGAATAAGAAGCAAAGTGACTGCAGGAGTCTCCCTTGACTATTCACATATTTCTGGCCTGATCAACTTGCCGTCGAAAACTGCTAGAGGTTGAGCTGAATTTACACTAATCATAGTGCAAAAATGACCAGCCTGACAATAGAAACAAAAGTGTTTTTTTTTTTTGCTTTTCTTGTAAAAATGGGACTTTTTTCTTCTAGAGGGAGAGTTTTCTTTAACTTGTTACTATGCTATCTCTGGTCTTCGAGTATCTGATAGTTAAAGTGTCAGTTTGTATTAATTTACCATAGTAAGGTTCTGAGTCCTTCTATTGCCTCTTTAGATAGTAGTTCCAATTAACTGAGACTAAATCACCACGGATAAAAGCCAAGTCTATATTTTTGTCAAGTCAGTGAAAGATTGGCTCTCATTACAGACATATGCCACAAAGTCCAACAGTTGTATGTTAAACCTGTGTCTAGTGAGAGGGGAAATGTTTATGATGGCGGCTTTTTGTGTGATATGCTGACTAAACCCTGAGTTTTGTTATAAGTTTTTGCTTCCACTGCTTACAAATTTTATTGTTTTAAATTTCACTATTGATTGTTTTTGTTAGAGGCGGCGAACTGCTTTGGATGAACTAAACATGCGTGGTATCTTTGAAGAGAATGATGTTGTCTGTGTAAGTCCTGCGGCCGACTTATTTGTTTATTGTTTTATAAAGTTCCTATGTGACAACAGATTGAATAAGATGATAAACATCAGTGTTATAGAACATTCTTTTTTTCTCAGGCTGAGGTTCGCAATTTCCAACATGATGGCAGCTTACAACTCCAAGCAAGAAGTCAAAAGTATGGAAAGGTATCTACTTAGAAAATCTTTGTTTATGCCTTCTGCTTTGGCCTTGCTTTCTGTAAAAAATGTGTGTTTGTCTCAAAATAAGCAATATGTGAAAAAAGAATGAGATCATAAGCTTTTTTATGTCACGGTTCATGAAAAAAATTATGAATTGGAATAAATTGAAGGAATAATGCTTTAGCTGTCTGCTTATTGTTTCTTTTTCTTTCCCTCTTTATATTTAGCGAAATTGTAACTTTCTTGCACCAAGAATTATAGAGCTGCAAGGCAAATCTTCATGTTGGAATGTAACCAAATGCTTTAACTTGGTCATGAAAATGTGTGGGATAATTCCACGAAGCATGCTGTAAAAAAGGGAGAAGTATTTAGGTTATTAGGAACTTAACTTTTTGTGATCTAAGGTCTCAAGGCACAAGAAAGGTGGTTGTATATCTGTGAATCCTTTCATACATATGCAATCTTTGCATATAGTAAGCCTTGCCTTAAATTTTGTTTCTTTAATTAGTTTTTTTCGTGCAATACTCAATATGCCTTGCATGTCTATGATATTAAAGCTGTTGCTGATGTAATTCACACTACAGCTTGAGAAGGGCCAATTGCTCATAGTTGATCCTTACCTAGTGAAGAAAAGCAAATCGCATTTCCATCACCTTGAACATTTTGGAATTGACTTGATACTCGGACGCAATGGATTCATATGGGTTGGTGAACATGTCGAAACCAGAGACAGTATGGCAGTGGATCAAGCTAATAGTTCTGAACAATCCATGGTTCTTGAAGAAAAAAACCAAACTCATACCCCTCTAGAGATGAGGCAGAACATATGCAGAACTGCGAATGCTGTCCGTGTATTGTCTACTTTAGGTTTCAGTATGGATGCAGATTTGATCATGGAGACCGTTGAATTGAGCAGCTCATTGAAAATCGATATACATGACATGCTAGGATCAGAGTTTCATGTTCTGGTTGCTGAAAGGGAAGCCGAGCGGAGAAGCTTGATGGGAAAGCGGAGAAGATGATTCGATATTCGGTTGTAAACAGTTCTTGTTCAAGGTAATGTTGCTAATCTTTTCCAAATGTTAGGCAAATGATGAACCTGGTCCAAAATTGTTCCTGTCTAGAATCATTATTCTATGGAATTTTAATGGTTTTCACCTGAGATTGCAAAATTACCGCGCGTTTTAGAAGTTTATGTATATACAAGATCAACACTTAAATCCTCACGAAAATACTTGAAAAGATGTTTTCAAGATAAATTAAATAAGAGTGAACTTCCTAATACTCAATATGATCACAACGTTTAATTTTTCCCCCCTTTTTATAGTTTTCTTCAAACCTTTTAAAAAAGTTGTGAATAAAAATAAAATCAAATTAAAAATTCCCACCATCAATTTTAACTTAAAGAATCAATATTCAGAAAGCTAAATTGAGAATAAGTGTAAAATTATACCACTTGTTTATTTTAAATGTCTAATATTTTTTCCATTATCATTTTAAACTCAATTTTATCACATCTATTAAAAAAATTCATCAACCACTTAAAATATGACACACGGTACATTTATAAATTTTTAAAAAAATTATTTAAAAAAATCTAAAATTTCTTTAAAATCTGAAAAAAAAACCCACTAAAATTCCTAAACTCAAGATCATACTCAAGTGGACATCAATACATTAAGGACAAATGCATTAAAATCACAGTCATGTTAACAACAATGCATTTAGGACAAGAGCATTCAATTATGGAAATTACATTTTAAATCATGTAGACAGATTTATTTAAGAAGAATGCATCCAACCTATATTAACATAAGATGCCTTTAAGACAAACGTATTTTTATATTTGATAAGAACAAACTCATAAAAAAATTCAACCCTTCCATGTTTTTGGACATGAAGTCAAAAAAATTGATGCATTTAAGACAAATGCATTATTTTAAATAAATTGTGTCCAAAATAATTGATAATAATTTTTGTTTTTAAAATACGTAGATTCTAAAAAAATAAGTTTTTTCATCAGTCTAAAAATTATTTTGACAAAATTAATATAATATTCTTTATAATTTTATTTTTATAATCATATTCTATCATTTTATTCAAAATCATAATTTTATATTCAATAAACCCTTATTATTGAAGATTTTGATACCTGTAAAGCTTAGCACACAGTAAAAAATAACCAAAATTAAGTAACCCCAACACCACGAAAATCCAGTAAACACTGTCTAATCTTCCCTCGTTAATATCATCCGGTAACCATCCGGTGACGTTCCTTATCAGATCAACCGCCGTTGCGCTGACGTAGAAAGCGACGCCGACAACAATGGAAATCATGGAAGTCGCTGTGCTTTTCATGGAAACGGGGAATTCTTGATAGTACAACGAAACGTTCCCCGGGAAATGGAAAGCTTCTCCGATGCCAACTACGATGAGTTGAGGAAACAGCCATAAGGCCAGCATTGGCACCACGGCGGCGGTTCCACCCTGCTGGCCTTGGAGGTGGTTTTCGTGGGCTGTTTTTAGCCTCTTTGACTCCACCACGGCGGAGATCGCCATGCTTAGGATGTTGAAAACGTGGCCTGTTCCGATTTTTTGCAAGGGTGTTAATGACCGGCCTGTCAGGTTCTTCCAATTGGGGTAAAGAAACCGGTCCAACAGGGCGATGAAGGTGGCCGAGGAGATTAAAACCACGATCGTAATTGAACCGGCGGGGATCTTGAAATCGGAGCCGAGGTGACGATCCATTGCTAGAGCTTGGAGAACTGTCATGTTGTTTTGAATTGCAATTGGGGTAGTTAAAAATACAGTGCTGGCCCATAATGGGGAAATTCTGACAAGAGTTTTCAAGTCCTCAACCTGTTGAACAGAGCATAATCTCCATGGCTTGGCTATGGATCCATCTGAATTAATGTCTCCTTCAGTTTTCATAGCGGCATTGTTCAAGAACCTACGTGTTATCAATGGAAAAATACAAAGAAAATATATAAATTATATGAGAATTTGAAACTTCCTCTCGGTCCTCTCGGTCCATAAGGAGTAATAAGTATTCATACCTGAAGCTCCGTTTAGGCATTGTAGCAATGGATTTTCCATCTTCATCATTAATCTCATGGTGATAATCCTTGCTTTCAGATGAAACCAAGACTTTCCTCTTTCGTATTGCAGCAACAATCACACGAGCCAAACTCGTGTAAGGGCTTCCTCGAGGCTTATCATGGCGGTAGAAACGATTTCCCAGCAAGAAAATAATAAAACCCAGAAAATTAAACGCTGCACAAATTCCAAATCCAAGTCCCCAACTAATATTATCCTCTACATAGACGATGCCTATTGAACTAACAACACAGGCTGCATAGAATGTGAAGAAAAACCAGTTGAAGAATCTTCCTTGATCTTGAGGATTATCGAATTGATTGGCTCCTAATGTTGCTAATATGAAACGAACCACCCCCAGGCCTATTGATGCCAAGGTGATACCAGAATATAGAACAGCTAAGTGGAGCTTCGATGGACCATTGCACAAGCTTGAATCTGTTTCACAGTGTGGTCTCAAATGGCTAAGTGTTGCTGTTAAGGTTAGAACAATTATTCCCTGGAAAGGTTTACAAAAATGGACATTAGAAATCGTATTTACTGATCTCTGGGAATTAAGAGTAGGGTGTGTATATACCAGTAAAGAGAAGAGTGAAGAGATTGAAACGACATGGAAAGAACCAAGGAAAGAGTCGGCCAAAACAGCTCCAATAATTGGGATCAAATTGATGGAACCGTTGACCACATTGGCTATCTGAGTAGCGTCAATGCTCTTGACATTGAACTCCTCGATCAAATACACGATCAAATTCGTCAGCCATCCCCAACCAGCTATCATCAATCCTGTCAAAGTTGCTGTTGAAACACACCACCAAAGCAGTTTCATTACAGCATGGTTTTAGACATGTTTGAAGGAGAGAAACAAAGAGAGAGAGAGAGAGAGAGAGAGAGAGAGACCTGAAATAAAGAAAAAGGTGACCCAACCGCCACGTTCACGGCCGGAACTTAACATGTGTGACAGTGATTCAGAGTCGCCATTCGTGGAGGTGGCAGTAACAGCTGACTGTTGCAACTGATCCGTGGATGACATTTTGGCTTTGAGGTTTTGGAGATGAAATGGTTTGGGCGAGGCAGTCATTTATAGACTGTTTATATAGTAGTATTGTGTCGTTTATACAGTAACATCACTACGAGGACCATTAAGGTAAATTACATATTTATTATCTAAATTATCAGTTTTAGTCTATTTTAATATATTAACTTTTAATTTTTTAAAATCATTCCTAACATTTATTTTTTGTTTCATTTTATTACCTCGTCGTTAAAAATTTAACGGCACTGCATTTTTATGGATAGATTATATTGTTCATCACTCAACTATCTTCTCACTCCTATTTTGGTATTAAAGTTTAAAAAATTTCAATTTAACTACTCAACTTTCAAATTACTCCTATTTTAATCACCCTAATTTATTTTATTAATAATTTTTGTGACATGACATTTTTTATTATTATCTTATTAATATTTAATTAAAAGTAAAAAATAAATTTGAAAGTTAGAATGATTAAATTATGAGTAATTTGAAAGTTAAGTAATTAAATTAAAAAAAAATAAACTTTTGTGACCAAAATAAGAGTGATAAGATAGTTGAGTGATGAATGATGTAATTTATCCATTAAAGAGGTGCCACGTGCAAATCACCCTTTAAGTCTTAAAAGACGAGGTACTAAAACGAAGCAAAACTAAATATTAGGATATGCAGGGCAACCATTTATAAACTTCAGATCTCTCTTTTCTTTTCCAATATAAGATTAATGTCTTAAACCTTTCCAAAACGTGACATTTTCTTAATATTTAATACTCCACACATTGTTTCAAGTCATTATTAATCAATCTAACTTAAATGTTTTGAACTCATCACGTGACTTTAGTAATAAAATAGAGTATAAATCTTTTTAAAGGTCTAGAGTTTGAGTAGTTGTGTATTATCAATAAATAAAAAAATTCTTATTTTTCCAGGCATGTAATATGATTTGCATGGATTTAATTATTAGTCTTTTCTCAACCTTCGTCTTTTATTTTTTTATACAAGCCATTAGTTCTATCAAAAAGATGAGATATTGAGAATTACTATAAAGGCTTACAATTATTTTCCTAATATAAACATACAATAAGAATATTTTTTATAATTATTAACAATAGCGAAACAAAATGAAGGCTAATGGGGCCACGGTCCTCCCAAAATTTGAAAATTCATAGTTTAGGCCTTTAAAATTTTTAATTTAGTTCCACATCATTTTTAAAAATTCATATTAATCTTTAAATGTTTGAAATATTTTTAACTAAACCCCTCCAAATAAATTTTAAAAATTCTCATTAAGGTTCTCAAATTTTTAAAAACTTTAGTTAGACCCCAATTTTTTGAAAAAATGTAAATTGATCCCTTCAAAATTTTTAATTTAAACCTATAATTTTTTAAAATTTAAATTATCCCCCACCCACCAAGTTTCGCCACTGATCATTACATATAAATCTAGTTACTTAAGATCAATACAATGTTCATATAAAAAAATTATTAAAAAACTAATAAAAAATATATAACTTTTAAATATATGGAGAATTGATTATAACTATATTGGTTATTATTGGTTTTTCAAATAATAAACTGTTTTTTCCTCCTTCCTACCAACTACAAGTTTAGTCAACTTTCCTAAATGTCATAAGATGGTCCATGTGGTTTGGAGAAATATTATATACATTTTCCTAAAGATATATCATACTGATCATGTAATGATAACAAACCCAACACCAAGAATATTAGGTATGGAACACAACACCAATAATGATCCAAGTTGTACCTTTTAAATTATGTTTAAATTTAATTATCGTATATATATATATATATATATATATATATATATATATATATATATTGATTCCTAGGTTAATTATCGTATAATTTTTAAAGTATGTTATATATATATTTTTTTAAATTTAGGGTAGAGTACATAAATGGTTCATCGACTATATGGTGTTGTTTTGTTGAATTCCCTTATTATTAAAAGTTACAAAATAGTCCCCCGACTATAGAACATTGCTTTGTTGAGTCCTCTGACTATTAAAAGTTACAAAATGGTCACCTGACTATTCATATGTTCCAACTCATCGTTTTATGTTAAAAAATTGATGGTCGTTTGAGTTGGACTTTAACCTATGACTGAGATATGATAAAATTATATTTTAATGATGTCTATTGGCATTGTCGTCACTTTTAAGCACTGGCTCGACAACATAATATTTCAAGCATTGACTCGACGACATAATATCCCAAGCACTGGTTCGACGACAAAATGTAAATGAAGACTCAATCCATAAAACACGCTTCAAACGATTCTATGATAAGATTTTATCATATCTCAATCAACAAGTTAACGTCTAACTCAAAAGGCCGTCAATTTTTTTAATAGAAAATGATGAGTTTGGAACATATAAATAGTTGGTGGTCATTTGTAAATTTTAATAGTCGATGACTTAACAAAGCAACACCTTATAGTTGATGTACCATTTATGTACTTTACCCTAGAATTTATTAAAAACTCATTATCTTGGAAGATGGAGGGTCAGATGTATTAGGTAATTGTTTTAAAGATACAATATATTTTCTTTAATCTTTTCCCTTATCCTTTTCGTTAGCGTGTTTTGGCATTTGAAATGTTTATTGCTAAAACATAGTGTTGACTTCATTCCTATAGACTATAGTAAGAAATTAATCATGGGGACATTGTTGATTTGAGCAATTGTTAGCAAAATGAGATTTGTTTACTAAAAAACAAAATTAAAAATTTTACGTATCAAAAGCAATAATAAAATAATGCTCGTGATTGAAAACATAATGTTTCCGAGGCGCACTTTCAACCATTTACTAGTGGGGGTACTGAGAGGCCGGCCATCTTCATTGACAGCTAATAGTTCAGCAAATGCACCGCGGCTCAGCCACTACACTGGACTCGGAGAAACTTAACCCAACCTTATCACCATCTTTGATGCCTGCTGGGCTCAGATTTCCACGCCTTTAAGAGGCTTGATCTTCGGCTTCCACCAACGACATATTTAATCTGTTGGAGACTTGACATAAAATTCATTGGAGTTTGTTGGATTGAGTTCTAAGCTTTTAAAGAGCGTTAGATATATGAAGACGTAAAAGGTCCGTGAAACCTAAGTACAAGACGAAGGCATCCGATTTTTATAGGCAAAATGTAATTTTTGTGTTAAAAAATTTATATATTAATTCTAGAATGTATTCACATCCATTACTATTAATTCACTCATAAAGCATTTTCTCCACATTCTATTCTTTTATCATTTCTTGTTGATTAATAGGTTATGTAAACATATTAATTCACTCTTAAAGCATTTTCTCCACACTCCTAAAGCTTCAGATGGGTTGATTAATAGGTTATATAAACCTTATATGTGTTGGGAATAAGAGAATGAGAAAAATGTAATGAATAAAATATAAAGATTTTGTCGTTCCATATAGCCATTCTTTTACTGCACTTTTTATCTTATATTTTTTTAAGATGTTCTTCTTCCTATTTTCTTCCTTTTTTATGTTTCGCCTAACGTTTATGCAGAAAAACCCTCGAAACCCGTGTTTGGAAGGGTTTCCCGTTTCACGTTGTGCCTAAGACTCCAAAGACGTTTTGCTTTGCACCTACATGCGTCTGGCGTCTTAGGTGCAGTTTTGAAACCTAAGGTTATAACTAGAGTTCATAGACAAGAAATTGTTTGACTCATAATAGAGTACGTCAATTGAAATTATGAGTGAACATACAATCCAGTGAAGTTAAGTTAAAAAAAATTAAGTTATTCGAGTTTAATAATTGAAATTTTGTTTAAAATTTTTTCAAGTCGAGTTTATTAAATTCGAGTTGAGTTATTCTGATTTCTGTTTAAATTTAATTATATATATATATATATATATATATAATGTTATAATACTATTTGTTTCCAATTTAAACGGTTTTATGTAACCATACACAATATACATATATATATTTCTTCATATTTTTTCATATGTGATATACATATATAATGTAGAGTTGGGGGACTCGACTCAAACTTAAAAATCAATCCACTAATTACTAAAACTTTTGAGTTATTCGAATTCTATTTTATAACTTGACTTGATGAAGCCCAGACTTTCCAACTCACGCTTTTTTGACCCCATAAATGCAATTTTAACCTCTGTTTCACCGGTAAACGCTTCAATCTTTCGATTTCTTCATCCTTCAATCTCCATGGTCCACCGTTCGATGAGCCTGAAATTGGACTATTTTGGTTGACTTGTCATCTCTTGTGGTCCATCATTCATATTGGTATTTTGACCATCGGAGCTATGTCACGTTAGTTCGTCCTTCAAATTTTTAATGACATATATTAAAATGAAACAAAAATTAAATGTTAGGTATGATTTTGAAAAAATGAAAGTTTATGTATTAAAACGGATCAAAAGTGATAGTTTAGGTACTAAATGCGTAGTTTACCCTTTTTGATATTATAATTTTCTTTAGAGTAAAGTATATAAACAATCCCTAAATTTTTAGAATACTTGCATTTTGATTAGTCAACTTTTGAAACTTACAATACAATCATCAAACTTTTAATTTGTTTTCAATAAGGTCAATCCTGTTAGTTTTAACTGCCGTGACACTTATTTCCCGTTCTTCTTCTTCTTCTTCTTCTTCTCACACACATAAAAATAACTCTCGTTCACTCCACCTCCGATCAGCGATGGCTCACACCGCCATCAACATCGTCACCGAAGTTGCCTCCTGAGCACACCTCGACCCTCGATTCATACTCATCATCCACTATTCATCCCAAATCGTGAGAAGATTGTTCGAACTTCTATCCCCGATCTTCATCGTCAGTCGCCGTGATTGTCACCGTCGGTACTAGTAGGAGCGCCACCCCATTCCAACCAAAACCCCGCTAACCACTCGCCGAGACTCACTTCCGTTCGTCGTGGAAAGGCCTCGAATCTTCAAAAAAAAAAACCAACTCCCCTTTTCTGTTTTCATTGATTTTTGAACCTTTTGGTCCCGTGGAGCTTGTCCAATTACCACTTGATCTTGAAACTGGGCAATGCAAAAGTTTTGGGTTTGTTCAGGTTAGTTATAATTAAAAGTTTATAATGCTTGTTTCCTTTATGGTAAATAGATAAACACATACTTGTTTGTTCTTTACAGTTTGACCAACTTGAACATGCAAAAGCAGCTCAAGGTGCATTGAATGGGAAGCTGGAAATCGCTGGTCGAACCATTAAGGTATGATTGTTAGTTTCATGAGCTTGTAACTTATGTTGTCTGAAGTCTAATTGAAAGTCTGTTCTTCTGTTACAATAATTTGCTCTTTATTGTTGTCTTCCCAATTAACATCTTTATGGTTATATTTGTGTTTAGGTTTCATCTGTTACTGATCATGTTGGTACCCAAGATCCTGCAGCAAAATCTGCCGACTTTGATGATGAGGAGGGTGGTTGTTTGGTGAGCTAAAATGCATATTATTATAGTTGTCTTTTATGAATACTGGTTTTTGTAGATTTGTGCTCAGTTATCTCCTCCTAATAGTAGTTCGTAGGAAGTGGAATCTGCTTCTTTCTTGCAAAGTTGCTCTTCCTTTTTCTGCTTAATTATCTTGTGTATCTTTTATCCAGGCTTTGAATGCTCAATCAAGAGCATTGCTTATGCAGAAACTGGATCGCTCTGGTATTGCAACAAGGTTTGTATTTCAAATAGTTGTTTACAGTTTAATAATAGTATAATACTAAAATTAAGTACACCCACAATGTGAGTATTTACTGTTATTATTTGAAGAGATGAGTTATTCATGTAGTCCTTTGTTAAAGTGGGAAGTTTTCTCAACTCTTTAAGTAAAAAATTTTTAAGACATACTATTTTTTTTGTTATTGTTTTAGATTTTGGTCTATTATAATTTTTGACCGAGTTGTTTTCACTTGATCTTAACGCCAAACTCAATCAGGGACTTCAATAATAACTAGAATTTGATGCAGCCACTGTCTGAAGAAAATATTCTTTTAAGTAATTATATTGTCATAAAAAAATAATACATGGATAAAATGTGGGTAGGTATTTTTAAGCAAAAAGATGGGCTTATGTGGATGGATACTTGTCGTGTAAAAAGGCACAAATAATTTCAATTTTAAACATTTATTAAAATAACTATATTTATTTATTTGTCTTTTTTCCCCAACTGAGTTCGCTTCAGTCAGAGATTTTATGATAGTATAAATGTCCAATGTAATAATTTTGCAGTATTACGAGCTCCCTTGGATACCCTCCTTAATGGGTCAGCTCCTAATTCACAGGCTGTTACGCTACCTGTCAATGGACAAGCTGCATATCCAGCACCAATTCTTCCTCCAATCATGTCTACTACACCCCTTGATCCTATTGGACATCCCAGTGAGTGTTTGTTGTTGAAGAATATGTTTGATCCTGCATCTGAGGTTTGGAGTTCTCTTGTTCTGAACATGCTATTTTCTTGTTACCTTTTGTCTGCTTTTGTTTTTGCTTTTTCTTTGTTGTATGAGTTAGTGATTTCTGTAAATTCTATTGTAGGTTGAACCTGAATTTGATTTGGAAATTAAAGAGGATGTTGAAGAAGAATGCAGCTAATATGGCAGGGTGAAGCATATATATGTGGACAAGTAAGCATTCCACTGTTTGTTACATTTTATAAGCTAATTTTCTTTCATCCATTTTTTGTTGACCTTGTTATTATGTTTGTTCAATGGTGTGGATAAGGTACTTTTATAGCCTCTTTCAATTTTTTTTATTAATAAATACCAAATGATTATCTATGTTTAACAAAGGGTAAGTTCTGTCAAGCTATGCATTGTTTGTTTTACTTAATAGCTCTATTAATCTCTAAATATGTAATTGAAGATGAGTTTTGGACGGCTTTCTTTAAAAGGAACTGAAGGAGCTTTTGAGTGTAGTGACATATGGATACCTCTTCTTTGTCCATTGCTGTCATTTATTCCTTTGAGTTACTGGATTTTGCATTAGAATTCCTAATATGTTTTACCTGTGTTCTATATATAACAATTCATGTGAAGACTATCTATTGATTTTAATACTGGAATTTGCATCCTTCAATTAGGTGTTCTGTAGACTGGAAATATAGGGTCATCAATGGGCGTAGCTCTCAATTTTTACTGCCAGTAATCTGATTGTATGCTTTGAACTTTGAGGAAACTGTTTAGACTGACATTTGTAAGTGTATGGTGATTGTCCATGTTGTATATCTTGTGGTATTTGACCATAATTGTTTACAAGGTAGGACTTCAGATGCTATTCAGTGACTAGTGACATCTTATTTTCTATTCTAAAGCTTTGTTAGGCTAATCATTTAAACTTGACAGATTTCACGGTTCATTTTTTTAATAAACGAAAATTTAAAATTTATTCGAGTAAAGAAGGATTTGCTTTGCTTTTTCCCAAGTGATATTTGCGCAAAATGTTAACACTCTTCATATTTTGAACAGAAACAGTGCTGGTTTTGTCTATCTACGATTTGATTCCATAGAAGCAGCAGGTAAAGCTCAACGTGCAATGCACATGAGATGGTTTGAGGGCCGATCAATACCAGCCTTATTCATGGTAAATGTGTTTTCCACCCTAATATCAGGCTCGATTCATTACGTATATTATCAATTAACAAAGTCCAGGAACTGCTGCAGCAACTCCATGAGTATGAAGCAAGGTTTAAAGTCTGAAGTTGGAGCCATTTCAAAATGTGGTTGGATGGATGGTAGGTTCTATTTTGTCAACTTTGTTACACAAATGATCTAAATGTAAGATTATGATGGTAATGACCTGTTTATCATTGGCACTATAAACTTGATGATGTGCCTTGTGCTATGTTCGAATTTCAAGTTTTATTAGCAATTTCCATAGCCAATGCCATCACAACCCATAAAAGCATTGGGTTTGTCACATTATTTTGATGGATTTGTTTAGTAGTGTAGTGCAATAATTTAGTAAGAAAGTTAACTGATTTATCCCTCCGTGCTTGAATCATAGTGTAGTGCATATTAAACATGTTTTTCCAGTAATTTTAGTCAAAATGCATCTTTTGCATTTTCTAATAAAGAATTAAATGTAACTTATGCATGCCATTTAATCTCCCATAATTCAAATGACCTAATATATAATCTCATAACCAGAAAGATTCAATGAATATAAGAAGAAATAATATACTTATTAATAATATTAATTTGGAACAAACTCTCATACATACACCTTTTCCCTACAAAGATTCTCCCCGTAAATAAAATTAACTTATCAGATACTGAAGTCCTCCTAACTTGTAGAATATAATATGCATCATTCCAAGATTAAAACTTTTCCAAAAGTGAACTGTAGTTTCTGACACTTTACCTTCGATTGCTACGGTGTAAGAATTTCCATGTATAGTTGATTACCATAGTTGCATTTGTGTGAAATTTGTGAACATCTCTCTATATTTCCATACATGTTTGGTTGATCTTTTGTCAATCAACCATGCATCATTATCTTGAGCCACATAATTCCAATTCCAAAGTCCGATATTTTCATAGTAAAGTTGATAGTACAAACCTAAAAAGACAAAACCTAACTTCAGAAGATATGTTGTGAACAGTTTGATGTATAAACGTATAAAGCTGCTTAGGACTGTAAATGTATTATTCATCAACTTTTCTCTCCAAATGCCAAATTTTAGTGTGGAGCATAAAACAAGAAAAAGTGGAAACAATAAACTGTCCGCTGAGGAGACAGATAGCTGGAAGGGTACAGTAAACAATCAAGGGAATCGATGTCAACGGATATACAACTGAGTTTATGTAGGAGAGTCGTTCCAACCATTTCAACCCACCCCCATGTCCATACCAAATGGGACAATGTCTGCTTAAGAAAATTTCAACAGATTCGACAACCCAACGTATAACTTGGTGTAGATGATCTGAGAGGTTAATAGGAGCGGAACCCTTGAAAGCGGGGCGTTTGGGTATGCAATGCACAGATCTCCAGCCATGACAGTGCATCTTGAATCCAGTCAGGATATCCTCAGTCACCGACCCATATATCCAGCCAACCTGTGTTGCAAGTTGAAATTTTTTAGGATAACCAATGTTAATAAAATTACAACTTGCCTATATCAAGAACATGGATTTATTTCAAGGTTTCACTTCCTTCCCCCATTCGGTTTTATCTTCATAACCACAGCTTATGACTTGAACAGCTTCACTCAGTAATGATGCTGGGCTTGCATTTCGAGGAACCCCGCCATTCTCCAGAGATTGGAAGCCGCGAAAACAGGGGACTGACCGAATTTCTTTTTCATTTTCATTTCTGACGTGTCTGATGACTTCTGAGTATTCAACTCTGATAGTAGAAAACAGGTTCTAGTTTAGAATGTCGTACTAAAAGTACATCGTAGGCGTATAATAGTAGGCCTGTAAACGAACCGAACGCATACGAACGGAGGTATGTTCATGTTCGTTCATTTAATAAATAAACGAACAAATTTTTTTTTGTTCATGTTCGTTTATTAAGGAATATAACTTGTTCATGTTCGTTCATTTAATAAATAAACGAACATAAACGAACACGAACATAAATGAACACGAACATAAACGAACATAAACGTTGGAGACCCTACCTTCCATTGTTCTTTCATGAAAAATAGTTGACAATGCAAATCAACCAAATCTACAGTGATAAATAGCGTAAGAGCTGATTAGCAGTGATGAAATGTTTGAAGATATTAAATATTTCGATCGATAATTTAAAGATATTAAATGATTCACACGACTTTAATTTAACGCTATAACATTTATCTTAGTGGTCCATGATTACATATGAACAATCATTTTCCACTACGTTATTCTATTAAATTCACTGGCTAAAAGTTTTGTGACATCAATGTCAGACTTTAGTGAGGTTTGTTAATAATGGTCATTTCCGTTGGCAGAGTAAAAAATTTAACAGCATAAAGATTTCGAACGGTACAAATTGGACTACAAGGCAATAACATAGATCCGAAATCTCTTCGATGCTACATACTATAATTGATATTATTGCTAAACCACCATTTAAAATTTTAACGTGCCTAAAGTCTACTCCACAACTAAAGGTCACACAAGAACTATGAAAACCAAAGTTCATTGTCAAAATATATTTTCTACTTATTAATGGGTTCTTTCTAGAAAACCCATTACTTTCGCTATTACACTCTTTTTCAGAAATTGCATAGAAACCTTTGTTTTGTTTTATGGCAAATTCTATATATTTTTCTCTTTATTGATGCTCATATACTTCCGATTATTACATTTATCTTTCCATCTATTTCTAGAAAGAAGTATGATGTTTTCTTGAGTTTTAGATGTGAAGATACCCACAATAACTTTACATATCAACTATTAAGCAAAATAAAACAAAGAAAGAGATGAAAACAGACCTGTAAAACTTCAGATTGCACTATAATATAACTTGTTTTGAAGCTTCCAGCGATCGTCTATACTCTCCAGTGAACACTATGGTTTGGGAAAAAAGGGGGAAAATGAATATAGGAACATAAATTGATTAATTAATATTTTTAAGATACTTACAAATTGGTCACCAAAATTGATTTAAGAATATTGGGTTAAACATAAATGAATGAACATAAACGAATATAACCGAACGAACATAAACAAACATAACCGAACGAACATAACCGAACGTTCACGAACATAAATGAACGAACGAGACATATGTTCATGTTCGTTCATTTAATTAAACGAACACAAAATCTTGTTCATGTTCGTTCATTTAATAAATAAACGCACATAAACGAACTTCCCGCCGCACGGTTCATGAACGGTTCGTTGAACGTTCAGTTCATTTACAGGCCTACATAATAGGATTAAGGAACTGTCAATTGGCCCCACTTAAGTGAAACATTACCTGTAATTCCCCCTTCAATGTTATCAAGAACATGTATCTGCTTCAAAGCTTCCCTCGACTTCTTAGGCTTCTGCTTCAGCTGCTTGGTTTTCTTGTTCTTTCTTGAACAACAGCACAGGCAACAGAATCATTTCGGCAAACAGTTGCAGGTCTTGCCTGGAGGTTTCTTGGTAACAGGAGCATCAAAACCGTGAAGTGCCTGCCTTCTGAAATCACAACCTGTCCCAACATTAATTGGTCCTTGTATGCCATCTAGTTCTTTCATGTTGATCTGTTTTCATAGCAAAATATTAAGCTTTGAAAGGTACCCAAAATAAAGAAACACACAATTTATAGGGACCCAAAATATTAAGTTTTGAAAGGTACCCAAAATAAAATCTTTTAAATATATGATATTTCTATCCTATTAAAATGATCAAATATTGACTTCTTTAATTTTAATTTCTTTTTATTTAAAAATTTAATATTACTAAAAATATAATATTTATATTAAAAAGGGATATATTTTATAAAAATTTAATTATTTTTAAATAATTATTGTGAAAATTTTAAAAAAAAAATTCAAAAGTCAACAGAAAATAAATTTAGTAAAACGGATAAATATAAAAAATTTAAGAGTTTAAGGTAAGTTGTTAATAAAGAATGATCGCTTTTTAACTATTCAACTATTTTTAAAAAAAATTATATATATATTTATATTTTGATTTTATTTTGATCTTTCACTATTGAAAGATAAATAAAATAATTGAAGTGATAATTCTTTAATTATTTTTAAAAATGACGTGAAATATATTAGATTCGTCGATACACCCCATAGCGCATCGAAAAAAATCTAACGATCTCCTCCAATGATCAAAGTACATGAAATAAATCGGGAAGAATATTTCAAAATATTACCTTATTTCGTCTGGAAACTTTTAATGCGAATTTGCTGAGTTCCAAGTCGCCACGACAGAGTTACAACTTTTATACAATCCACCCAGAGAATCAAAACATTCAATGCATAATATGGTTGTTAAATCTTATGCCTTTATATATCTTTCAAAAATTGAATCCAACTCAAATAAAATTTTATCATATATATATTATCTTTAATTGAATATTATATTTTAAAAGAGTTTAATAATTATAATAATTATCTTTTTTTTTTAAATATAAAAATTATCTCAATTCAGATTATTTTCTATCAAATAAATATATATATTTTATTAGAATTTAATAATTACAATAATTATATATTTTTAAATATATAGATTTGTTTCAACTCAGATAAAATTTTATCATAAATATTATATATATATTAATATAGTTTGATAATTACAATAATTATTTATTTTTTAAATATATAAATCTATTAAAACTCATATAAGATTTGATCATATAAATATATATATTTTAATAGAGTTTAATAATTATCTCTTATTTAAATATATAAACCTATTTCAACAGAGATTGAGTTATATCTAATAAATATTTATATTTAATAAAGTTTGATGATTATAATAATTATTTATTTTTTAAATATATATAATTACAAAAATAATTATAATAATTTCATTTTTGTTAAAAATATATATGTATCAAATATATATATATATATATATATATATATATATTAACTATATAATATTTTTAAATGTACATGTAAATTATTTATAATTATAATAATTTCATTTTAGTTAAAATATTGTGTGTATCAAATACATATATTATTTTTAAAAAAAACTATATTATTTTTAACTAAATATTAGGTAATTTAGTTTATAATTGTTCGTTTCAACCATAGACTCTTGTAGATTTATGTAACATTAGCAGTAATATCTAGAATGATTCTAATATTACAAACAATAAGTGACATTTAGCAATACATCATTGATACCTAAGTTACAATAAATCATGATTCGACATAATCTTTATGTGATTAAATTTTATATACCAAATCATTTTTCTTTATATCTAAATTGAACACAAGTCATAGATCAATCACATTTGTATAGTTTATCTAATATTTCTTGACATCTCGAGTATACTATTTAAACGAATAACTATGATATCTTATATCAATTTATTCGAGCATGGTCATGCATTTCATAGTCTCAATCAAATAGCATAAGATATTACTCTCATTATGTAAGAAGGACAAATCATATATTGATCAATCATATTCCACTACATATCTCGTGACATGTCCAATATCAATATAATACCTTCAACCTGTCTAGATGAAAATCGGATCAGAGATGTTACCAGAACTTAAACAAAAATCAAATATTCATAAATCATACATAACATCACTTACAAATATGAAACAAAATCAAATCATCAAAATTTCACATTGTATCATCGTATTTATTACACAATAATCAAATCACAGTTGATTTCGTACTTAGTCCTTACAAAAAATTTCTAAAAGTTCAAGGTATTATCGGACAATATTAGAACTATAAGGATCATTCATTTTACAATCTTTGACATTTAATCATTTCGTAATTCATATTATCTATGTCAAAAATAGACTTAGCCATTTTAATATATATATATATATATATATATATATATATATATATATATATAATATATATATATATATATATATATAGATATATATATAAAAACTGATTCAAACTTAAAAACAAATTTACTAATTACTAAAAAATTTAAGTTATTCGAGTTTTATTTTATAACTCGACTCGAACTTAATTTTTTTTGATTTGATTAGAGTTTATGAAATTATGAATCAAGTTAATTAAAATCAAATTTAAAATTTTGATTGTTTTCAAGTAGAATCGAATTTTACTCCCCTGCATATTATTCTTACTGTTTGTTTTTAATTTTCAAAATTTTATATAATCTAAATGGCATTCTAGTCATGGTAATATTAAAGAATATATTAAAAGTTTTGAGATTAAATGTGTATAAAACGTTAGATAAATTAATTTAACATAAACTTATTACGTATAATAATATTTTGTAATTATAAAATTATACTCAAATATTATTTGATTATATTAAAGTTATAATATACATATAAATATATACTTAGATTATAAAATAATATGATTATCTATAATTATAGATATCATCTCACATTTTATCTTAAATTATAAAATAATATTGTAGACACCCATTTTTTTTTTGTCAAAGTTAAAAAATATTATTAATTATTATTATTATTATTATTATTATTATTATTATTATTATTATTATTATTATTATTATTAGTAGTATTATTAAGTGTATTTATATTTTGTGCAGGCCAAATGTGGTCCAATTATAAGCAACCCAACAGACCCAGATCAATAACAGTACCAAGCCTCTCCACCGACGAGTCACTAAGGCTAGTCACCTCTGAGCAAGTTGAAACATCATCATCACCATGTCGGCCACTGAACAGCAAAAACAAACAAATAATATCAGCAAAGTCAAAAGCATATCACCTAAATCATACCTAACCTGTCAATATCCTACCATAAACGAAGAAAATGCATATGCATCCATTAAGATTAGGTGGAGATATCAACCATAAAAAGGCAGAGATTAGAGAAAAATGAAAAAAGAAGGGGGAGATCAAGAGAGCATTCGAATAAAAAAAAATTGAAAGAGGGATTGGGGAAATCCTGGCAAACGACACACTGTAAACTCTATATTCAAGCAATAACAAGGGTATCAATTATTTACTATTTTTCCTATTATTTTCATCATTTTTAATGCATTTTTCTTTTGATTTGATCACTTTAAATCCTTGCATGTTCGATTAGGTTGAGTAAAATTTCTTTTCGATTCTCTTAGGGTATGGAAATATATATATATATATATATATTAAAAAAAACCAACATAGATATACATTTTTATTGTTTTCGAATATAACTTAGTTGCCCACAATAACAGAAAATAATATGAAAAATTAGAGAGGGAGAGTACAAGGAAAAAAAAAAAAAACTGTGAGAAAATACTAAAAAAAATCCATTCGAAAAGCTTACCTTAAATCGAAAAGAAAAAAAAAACCCCGAAAGAGTAGGGAGTAGGGAGTGTCGTTTAACTCCTCAACGGATCCTATGACAAAGGCCATGGTGAATTCCATCTTGTGCCTTGTCTGCTAGAAAGAGAAAGAAAGGAAAAGTGATGAGCTAGAGTGTAAAACGACAAGAGGGGAAGTAAAGAGGAAAAGGAATGTGGCCTAGGGATTAGCAAATGGGAAAATACACAAGGATATGTACTGTTTTGGATAGTAAGGTTCCATACACCTAGCTTATGGAATAACCACACGTTTAATCCCTGTTGATTTGTATCCATACCTTATAGTCATTAAAGGAAGTCTTATTTATCTTATTTTGAGTTTTAACATTTCAGTTTTATATTATAGTCCTTAGATCAATATTTTTGTATTTCTAATTTTTTCTCCATGCTTTATCCGAATTCAATTTCAGTCCTAACTGGTAATGTAATTAGTTTCTGTTTGTTTATACATTTGATTTTTAATTTTCTGCATGTTTCTTTTAGTCCTTATGCATTTGTATCCTTATTTTCAAGTCATAATTAAAGTTATGTTTATTTTGTTTTAAGTATTTTATTTTTAATATTTATATTTTAGTCACACTATTATATGTTTATTATTATTTGACTTTAGTTATAATGTTCGTAATTATTGTATCTTAGTCATTGATTTATATTGTTATAATATTTTTGGTTATGTTCAATTTAACCACTAAATTTTTAAATATCCTATTTTAGTCATGTTATTATTAAAATATTATTTGTTTCAATTCGACCATATATATTATACATATTTTTTTTCCTTAATATAATCGGTATATTTTTCATCAATATTTAAATTTCATCTAGTTGTGCATATTTAATTTTTAAAACCTTGAGATGAGCACCTAGGCTATTTTTTTTAGTTTTAGTGGCACACATTTTTTAAATACTTGATATCAAGATCAATTATTAATTTCACCACTATACGAGGTCCACCATTATTTTGAAAGCATTCATTCCATTTGGATGTATTGCTTGTTTGGTTTTGCTTGTTTAGATTCTTTGTTAATTATATGTTTAATCTTTACTATTTGTTGAGTTTTAATTTACTTTATTTTTTATCTAGTAAGAATTAATTTATGATATATTTGTGTGTGTATATATATATTACTTAATACGTATTAATAATAAATTTTAATTATTTATGATATTTGGTTGAACTTATTTATATTTTAGTTCGTTGACATATACATTTTCCTTAATATATATATACTCAAAATGGTCT